CTATATAATATTGCTTGTTTTCGTTGACGATTTTATTTCTGTAAATTTTCCCTCCTACCACGCCGATCTCGCCCACTAGGACATACTGATAGTGTCCGCAATAGCGAGTCGACGGCAAAACCACAAAATTATTGATTTTCTACACGTTCAACATTTTAGTTGTTTTGTGCACACGCCAGAACTAGCCACCTCATTTGTTGCTCTTTTCCCATCTCTGACGATGTACTCCTGTAGGAGCCCGAAAGCTCAGACGAATAAAATAATTATTCCGGCGTTCGATATGCCCTCTTTTTTTCAAAATATACACGTTCCCGGAATGCGAACACCTGCCTCAATTCGAGAAAATGAAAGAACTAACTTAACCGTGTATACCGGAGCAGTTTTTAGTATGTTTGTTTACTTCTAGGCCCCGTTCTAAGATAACAAAAGCAGAGCAGATTAGCAGAGTATCAGAGAAAACTACTTATCTTCTGTCAGTTCCGTTTCAACTTTTTCTATTCATTGATTCTGCCCTGTAGATGGTAAATGTTTGGAAATCTTTTGCATACGGCTTGACAGCGAAAATTGACGGCATGTCACGAGTGTTTGTATATAGGCGTGTTTACCGTCGTTATTTTCGGTGGGGTAAAACAAATTACAGCCTTATAAGCATATTAGTAAATTTGATGGCATAAAGCCGAGCAGATTTGCAAAACAGATTTTTTTAAACTGAACCCGCTCTCTTTTTCTCGAAAATAATATGTAATCTCATATTTTGACCTACCTCAATTTCATGAGCGCAAAACGAGATTTGCTGTTCTCCGAACAGATACAGTTAAAACGTTTCTAGTCTTTCTAACTGTTCCTTTATAGTTCAACACGTTAAAGGAAGAACTTTGGTTCGCAGTGTTTAATAGCATAGGGAATAGCTTGGATATCAAAAAACATTGGAGCTGGCCAGCGTTGACCAATTTTTTCGCTTAATATATTAATTTTAACTGAAATCTTTTCGAGTAAACAAGATTTTGCGCCTAAATTCTATTCAGTGAATGAAATTATCAACCTCAAAGGCCTGTTAAAATTTTTACCTTCACTTTTCATGTGATAGGCAAGCTACTATATGGCCCACATGGCTGCCTTCATAAGAACTAATTTTAAAAAAGTACCGTTTTGGTAAATCCTTTTAAGAAATATCTTATCTTAAGGGGTTATGAGATACACATGGAACATGAAATATCAGAAAATAGATTTCAGGAAAGGAAATTATTGTAGTATGGTATGGTTAAGATGTCACCTGACAATCATGTTTTTAGTTAGTACATAGCTGTACTCCGATCTGGTCCAGGATTCACTAACCCTGGTT